TCCCCTGCCGAACTGCAGAGCAGCACTGCCCACCAGCCTCTGCTGGAAAGGTTTGGCACCAGATTCCCAAAGCTGGATGGATGCATGTCTGTGTCCTTCGAAGCCCTCACTGCTGGGTCTCAGCTTGCACCCCCAGCACGCAGAGAACGCTCCCCAGGCCACACACTGCTGGGGTGGTTCCTGGGGTATCATCCCCCCCCTGCAGCCTCCACCAGGCTCTGTGTGTCCTGGGCAAAGGCTTGTGCTGCAGTGAGAGAGCTCATTTACCCAGATGTGCACAGTCACCAGAAATGCTTTTTGCCAGCAGCAAAACCACTGGAGAATGGCAAAAAAATCCCTTCACCTCTGTAAGATGGGCATGCTTTCTGTTCCTTCCAGGTACTGGGCTCGTCACAAGGGCTTCAAAAACTGCCCTTCACCCCTATCAACTCTTCACTTCCCCAGAGTTAAAGTTTGACAAGCTCATTTTTAGCCACCCCTCCTCTCAAAGACACTGTGGTTTCTGTTTGAGCCTTCAGAAGTGAATCATAGTTTCAAAACCCTCCCTTACCTCAGTGAAACACTCTTTTTCCATTAGCATTCAACGTGTTCAACATGCGTTCAGGCATGTTATCAGAAACTTATACTGGAGCCTTTTAAAAAAAATCCCGTGTGATTTCATGCCCTGGAAGCACCTTTTACACGATAACTCTTCCTACAGCTCTGGGAGATAGGAGGTGTAGGGATCTGAGAGAGTCAAATCCAGACCCTAACGGCTCCTGGCTCGACAAGCACGTACAGGGCACCCGGCGAGCAGAGCAGCTGTCGTGGAGTTACCTTTCATGTGGGTGGCACAGACGTCTGCCAATTAAAATGATCTGATGAATCACTTCTTGCCGTGTGATTACTGTTAATAAGAATTTATGTTAACGTGTTTGTGTCTGAACTTTGCACAGGTTCATGCCTGCATTTATTTTCCTAAAAAACAGAGCGCACGGCGATTGTTTCTTGTTCTTCTTGCACTTTCTTTCCTCATTGGAAAGTGTTCCAGGACTTCAGTAGCACAGAGCTGCCAACAGCCCCTTAAAGGAAGAGGAGTTTATCTCCTCATAGTGCTTTCTGCATGGAATTTTGTGTACACAGAATATATAGTTCATAGCCAATAAATATAGCCAATAGTTTTTAACCTGGTAGCTTCAAGCTAAGCTTCTAAATCCACAAAGCAGCACTTACAGAGAGAGAGTGGCCTTTAGAATACGTAAAGAGGAGTCCTCATAAACTTGTATTAAAGCCTCTGTGGTTGCCAACACTTACACTTACACTTTCCTTCAAGTGGTCCCCCAACTGACAGGCTTCAGCCACTGACTTCCTTCCACCAGCTCCCTGTGTGTGCAATCAAGCTGCTTGTTTCCACAACTGCTCTGTTATTGTTACGATGAGAAACTGAGGTGTGGCCAAATGTTGTTCTACATTTGTCCTCAGAGCCCTACAAAGGATTTCAAAGTGTTTGAGAAGTCTGTGCAGCACGGGAGACGTTTTATAGCAAGAAACACACAAGCCCAAACACGGTGAGCGTTAATGGACTTTGAACTAGGATGGTTTGGGCACCTCTCTCCGATCAGAAAAATGCAGTTTAAAAGCCTGCATGAGCTTGGTAAATACAGTAGGACAGGGCAGAGAGACAGAAAACAACAGCAGTAAAGCCACATGAAGTACAGTTCAGCTGGGACAAGTGACTGGGGACTTGTCAGCCTTGAGAATCTTGTTTGGAAGCCATAAGCAGCACAAATGTTTTGGTGGAAGGACTTATTTCCATGGGACTTAGAACAGTTAGTAGAAAATAATATTGGAGAAGTAAATACAGTAGGACAGGGCAGAGAGACAGAAAACAACAGCAGTAAAGCCACATGAAGTACAGTTCAGCTGGGACAAGTGACTGGGGACTTGTCAGCCTTGAGAATCTTGTTTGGAAGCCATAAGCAGCACAAATGTTTTGGTGGAAGGACTTATTTCCATGGGACTTAGAACAGTTAGTGGAAAATAGTATTGGAGAAAACAATCCTAAAAAGACTAAGGAGGAGCTTGGTAAACAGGTAATTTCTTTCCCTCTGCTGGCAACTCTGCCACTCACATTAGCAGGAGCAGAGGACGCTGGTGAGTGAGGTATCTCTGTGGTGCTCACACTGGGGGCTCTGGGGGCTCTTTGGCTGCCAGCAGCCTCCTCACATCTGCTTTCTCCATGCTCACTGGTGCATTGAGATATTTGCACCCATTTTCCCTGCAGTGCCAATGAACTAAGAGCTCTGCTGTGTTCTTTCCAGTGTCATCCTGCATTACCACCTATAAGAAGACACCACCTCCAGTCCCACCAAGAACCACCACCAAGCCGTTCATTTCCATCACAGCCCAGAGCAGCACAGAGTCTGCCCAGGACGCCTACATGGACGGGCACGGGCAGAGGGGAGATATCATCAGTCAGTCTGGACTTAGCAACTCCACGGAGAGCCTGGACAGCATGAAGGCACTAACAGCTGCTATCGAGGCCGCCAACGCCCAGATCCACGGCCCCGCGAGCCAGCACGTGGGGAACAACACTGCCACTGTCACCACCACCACCACCATCGCCACCGTCGCCGTCGAGGACCGAAAGAAGGACCACTTCAAGAAGAACAGATGCTTATCCATTGGCATCCAGGTACAGCAGGGGACACGTGGGCCTGACGCTGTGCCGGGGTCCTGCAGCTCCTGGTGCAAAGCTTTGTGTGTTTTTCTTCTCTTCCTGGTGCAGACGTTGCAGCAGCAGAGTCACTCTGCGTGGTGCCAGCGAGGTGTTCCCAATTTATCATGAAAACATCAGAGGCAAAGGATTTGTTTAAGTCTTCTTGCTGCTCGTTGTTCAGCTCTGTTAAATTACACACATGAGCACTAATCTATGAATCCTAACCCAGCAGGGGTCAGAAAGGCATGGATTAAATCACTGAAAGGGAATGTGTAAAACAATGATTTACATTACACTATCACCCCAAAAATGTTCTCGTCCAGCCTCGCTGAATTAATTGTCCCTGCTCATTCATGCATTTCACAGCCACTGGTGGCTTTGTTCCCACTCCAGCCCCAGGAGCAGGGGCTGAGTTCCTTCTGATCTGCCCTTGTCAAAGAAAATTGCATTTTGTTACCTCTAGTGGAGTGAAACGGGAAGACTGACCCTGCCAAAGTTCACTGCTATTTACAGAACGGAGGAGAGCAAATAAACTGGGCCAGTGTAATCGGCTTCCTTAATTAATCTTTCCCATACTACCCCCTACCCCCCAAAAAAAGAATGTTCATAGGACTCCAGCTAACTGCCTGCAGGACTAGCTCTTGGAAAAATACTGCTTGGACTTGCAATTAACTGAGAATCGACACCAGTTCTGGGGGGAGATGACTCCCAGGTGAGCAGAACAGCAACCCACAGCTTCCCACAAGGAGACAGTTTTTCTCCTTGCAGCTGGAGGGTGTAAGCCCAGCACTGAGAGCCTGGGCAGGCTCCTCTGCTCAGCAAAGCCTCAGAATTCATGGTGAAGTCTCTGCATCGGCCTGATGAGGTGGTGCAGGGTGCTGGGTGGAGGTCTGGAGAAGCTGTGGCTTTCCTCTTCCCTCTCCTCAGCACTGTTGCTGCCCTTGCTGCAGCCTTGTTCTGCTCACCTGGCCTTGAACACCTCCAGTGGTGGAGCATCCACAGCTTCCCTGGTCTCACCACCCTTGGAGTGAAGAACTTTTTCCTTATATCTAATTTAAACCTCCCCTCTTCCAGTTTGAACTACAGCCCCTTGTATAAAGTCCCCCCCCCAGCTTTCTGACAGGCCCCTTTGCTGCCCCGGCAGCCCCCAGCAGGTCTCCCCATCTGGAGCCTTCTCCTCTCCAGGCTGCCCCAGCCCAACTCTCTAAACCCTCTAAAGCTCTGAAATTTGCAGATGACCAGCAGCCACATGTGAGAGCTCCTGGGGACAGTCCCCGAGGGGCTGCCAGGGTGGGTTTTGGGTACAAACCACCAGAGATGCCTCAAGCTGGGACAACATGAAGTGAAACCTTCAGCCATGATCCAGCCCTGCAGGATTCCTGCCCGTGCCCCCTGCCACCTTCCCTGTTGTGCTCATCAGTGAGATCTGTAGAGCCAGACAGGGCTCCCCAGTAAAGGCAGACTCCCTTCCCTGCTGCTGCCTGGCCTGGTTTGCAGCATCCTTGCACAAGCACGGCGCTGGGGCAGCTGGAGGGGCTGGGGTGCTGTAGGAGGTACTGTGGGAGAGCTGCTGCAGCCAGAAGGGACTTCTTAGAACCCCCTGCCCTGGGGCAGGCAGTCAGGCTGTCAGCCAGTGTCTGCCCTCCGGCTGGGGAGGGAGCCCAGTGTAGGCTCAGGCTGAGCTCGGGGCGGGCACACACCTCAGGGACAGTTTGTCCCATCTCACAGAGCAGAACAAGCTGCCTCAGCCAGAGGCAGATCCTTGGGCTGCATCCTCCTCTAACAAATGAACCTCGTGGGCACTCGTGGTGAATGTCCCTGCGTGTCCCCTGCACCCCTCAGTCACACTCAGGACCCCACAGGCATGTCCTGCAAGGCAAAACCCTTCCATCATCTCGAGGCTGCTTCTCCCTGGCAGTTATGGGGTTTAAGGCATAGTTATCTCCCCAAAAGCCTCAGCCTCAGGTAAGTGCCTCACCACACGGTTCAGTGATCAGCTGGTGCTGGATGTGATGATCTGAAAGGTCTCTCCCAACCAAAACAACTCTGTGACTCACTGCCAGCTCTGCAAGTCCCACCCCTCCTCCAGCACTCCCCTGCACGGGCTGTTCAGCTGCTGGTGGAACAGCTGCTGGCTGCAGCTGGAGATGCTGCACAGCCCTGCTCAGGGTGGATGCACAGCTCACCTCATGATGCTGCTATGGTCCAAAAACTCTGCGTGCCAGACACTTGTTTCTTGTACAACTAAATGTCATGTATAACCCTGGGAATTAGCAACTACACTGATTGGAACCAGAGGTTTGTTTTACTCAGAGACACATCTGTGATTGAATTTTAACTTCATTCCATTGACATAAAACTCCTCATGGAGGTGGATATAAAGTTCCTGACAGTGCTCCCGGGGTCCACCTGTTTGCATCCCGAAGCAGGAAGGGAGATGCACCCAAGAGCCACACCCACTGTCTTCAAATCTCACAGTACAGTGCTCTGACTTGGGGCACTGACACCTAAACCAAACAAACGCATAATTTTGACATGAATTCACTCCCACATGCACAGACAGACTAACAGGTAACATCCAACCAACAGTGGAGCCCAGTGAATGGAGTTACAGCTGCTCCAAGATGTGCTCTGGCAGAGGTGAGCCTCCAGCCTCCCTAAAACGCTGGACAAGCCCCAGCTGCACTCTGCAGGCTGAATGCTGTCCCACCAGAAATGGTTTAGATGAACAAGCATGACAAACCTTCCCTAATCCCATCAGAGATGGGCACACCACAGATACATCCTCTGGCTAGATGAAGGTACCCACAGTACAAGCTATATGTGCAGATAATTAGTAGTTATCATGCATAGAAATTGTGAGTGGCTGGGTGATATCTCTGCTACAATACATTCTAATTACCTGTCTGGGTATTTTTAAGGTTGATGGTGCTGAAGAATCCACCATATCAGGGGAAAATAAAGCAACCAGTAAGTTCCAGTCCATAGGAGTTCAAGTAGAGGAGGAGAAGTGGTGAGTAAAAGTTAATTCTGTTTTTCTAAAGTAAATAATTATGCCACAACTGATTTTTAAGACCCGAGTTCCTGCATGCACAACCATCTAAACCTGCTCCCTGGGTGAACTGCTACATCACCCCATGAAAAGCTGGGCCTTATAAATGCTGCAGCTCTCACTTCTCAGAGGGGGTTTTTCAGGACCAGTGGGAGAAAAGTGCCACATATTTTGGAGGTCAATAGATTTTTAACAGGCTCTTTTTCCCCACAAAATCTGCCTAGAGAGCAGCAAGTGATGCAGCTGGAGTATTAGGCTCAGGATGGCTGCAGCAGCCTGGAGCTGATGGGGAAGTTGTTTTCCAGCAGAATAATTCCAGCCACGTGGAGCAATGTGGTGGCAGAGCCAAACCAACTGCTTTGCCCAGGTATCTCACCCAGACATCTCTGCATTACAGCTGCTGCCTCCCTAAAGGCCATGGAGATTAAAAAGCAAGCTGTAAAACCAGGCTCCAGTCTGCAGTGGAACCCGAATGAGTAACCAAATGTGCTCCAAAAAAAATGGAAAAAAGAAAACCCCAACACACAAACACCACAACCCAACCCTAGAAGAGTTGTTGTCTCAGGAGAAGCATCTGGACAGTAGCTCGTGTCAGTGAGGGACCCAGCACCCTCCCAGCCTCCCCAGAGGAAACCCGGGTGCAGCACACCCCAGCTGACAGGAGAGGAGATGTCCATTTTCACACTGTGCTTTTCCTACATCTGCTAAAAACACTCAAAAACAACCTGTTCTCTACAGCATTCTCAGTCCAACCAAATCTCCCTGTAGAGCAGCAGAGCGTTTTCCTGTGGTTTTGAAAGGCTGAAGTGATTTCCGCAGGAAAGAAATGTGATTTTGCAATGACCGTGCAGGGCTGGTCCCAAGCTCCTCAGTAACCTGCTCAAACATCTCTGGCTGGCAGCCCTGTGTTAGACCTCAGCCCCACTTACCCACAACCCTTCCAGCACTAGGTAAATGAGCACCTTAGAACAGATGCTGAAGGACCATTTCCCTCCAGCCTCAGCACAAAGGAAATAAATGCCCCAAAAGCTCAACCCTGCCCTGAAAAACAAACCAACCAAAACAACCAACACCAAAAAAAAAAGGAACAAACCAACCAACCAAGAAAGAAATGGCTGTTTGTAAATACCTTACTTCCAGAGTCCTCTTTCTGTTGCAGTGTTTGTTGCTCCAGAGAGGAAGGTGAGGCTGGCCCTGAGCAGCAATGTTCCTGCATTCCCTCCTGACAGCAGCACTTGGGGGGTTCCTCGCTGATAAAGTTGAGGCTGGGGCTGCAGGAAAGGAGCAATCCATCATGGACTTTCCAAAGTGAACTGCCTGATAAAGGGCAGCCCCTAATCCTTAGAAAATGAGTGCACTCGAGACACAAAGGCCTTATCATCACCGTTTGGCACTCATATTCCTACTGTTTTTTTTTTCCTCCTGCCAGAGCAGAGCACAATGTATTGATTATCTGCTACAGGAATAGAACTGTAAATACAGCACATTCTTCCTTGCCCCCGAACATCTGCAGAGCCTCAGAAAAGCTCTTTTGAGCTGAATCTTGGACAAGTGAATGTTTTTTAAAAAATCTTCCAGGCTGCAGAAATATTAAAGAAATATAAAATAAGAAGAATGACATGGCAAAGAGGATGAACACAGTGCACTGATGAGGTTTCCTCGCAGCCTAAGCTCTTGAGTGCACCGTTATGATATGAGAAAGCTCTTTGCTTACACCCAAAGCCCACAGGACACACTTTGTTTCACTCTTCTTTGCTTCCTGCTCTCTCCCCCCACTTTCCCTCACCTCGTGACTGTCATTCTCACACTGAAGAGCCTTACCTCATCATGGCCTTTTGGATAGTCCTGCTTCTGTGCTTGGACCACGCAAGCAAAAGATTTTGCCTCCCTTTCTTGACCTGTGTAGCTCAAAACGATCTTTGAAGGACAGCTCTATCTCTTCCATCTTCCATCTCACTCCAGCCTTTCATCACTCCCTGTAACCCGGGCTCCTTGCCAAGACAAATGAGTCCTCCTCCTCCTCCTCTCACCCTGCTCCAGGACAGCTACCTGACCTACAGCTGGATCCATCCCTGCTGCTCGTCCCATCCCCAGCTCCTTATGCTGCCTGCTCTCAGTTACCTTTTCCACACCCATTCCCTAAGTGCAGCTCTAGGATTTCTAGCATTTGTAGAGTACCCCTGTCCAGTCTTTCCTGTGGAAAAAAACTGGTGTGCCTTTCTTTCAACCTCATCATCTCCCTGCAGTTACATTCTTATCTCTCACCTCATCTCCCCGTGATGTTAACAAACCCCCAACCCAAACGTTCCTTCCCTTTCCTGACACGACCAGGGCAGCTTTGAACTGCATCTAACCAAGCTGATCAGTGCAATCTCAGGGCACTTCATTTCTGCTTGTCCTTCCTCTCTACCTGTCAATTCTTCTTGACCTCAAGGGACCACCTTCCAGTCCTCACTTGCTGTAATTGTCTTGTTGGAAGTCACCCAGTTCTGCTGAACACGAAGAGCAGCCATACCTTGTGCCAGCCCAAGCAGCACCCCCCCTGACTGAACCAGGGGCTCTCAGTCCCACAGCTAGTTTGCATTTTGCCTTCTCTGCCCCCAGATCTGCTCCCATTACATCCTTCCCCCCAAAACTGTCTTGCTTGTTGCTCTAGTCATACCATCAGCTGGTAACTGCACTTGGTTTGCCATCACTGGGACTCATGAATGCTGACACAGTGGTTGTTTCTGAAATAAGAACACTACACGGGAGGCTACGACCATAGACAGATGGTCCTTCAGTCTTTCTGACTTCTGTGGGGCTGCAGAGGGTGCCCCCAGCCCTTGGTGTGGTATGAAGTGTGGTTTGCCACACCTTCCCTGCTGGTGTGGTACAAAGTGGAGAGATGAGAAGTGTCAGTGGGGTAGGGGGGCACAGAAACAAAATAAGAACCCTCTGTCTCTTCAAGGAAAGAAAACTCTACATCTTTGGCTTTTGTGACTCAGCAGGAGCCAGCAGTGAGCCCTGGCACCCAGAGGGCAAAGCACATCCTGGGGTGCATCAAGCAGCTGGTGAGGAGAGGGGACTGTCCCCTGGGGTCAGCTGCTGCAGCCTCCACCCCCAGAGCTGTGAGCAGGGCTGGGCCCCAGCCCTGGGGAAGGGTGCCAGGGACCCTGGGGTGCATCTAGAGCAGGGTGACAAAGCTGGTGACAGGGCTGGGGGGAATGGCCTGTGAGGAGCAGCTGGGGGCTCTGGGTTTGTCTGGTTTGGAGAAGGGGAGGCTGAGGGGTGATCTCTTTGCTGTCTGCAGCTTCCTGGGGAGGGGAGATGGAGAGGGAGCTGCTGAGCTCTCCTCCCTGGCATCCAAGGACACCTGGGAATGGTCCAAGGCTGCACCCCACCAAGGGAGGCTTAGGCCAGATATTAGGAAGCATTTCTTTACTGATGGGGTGGTCAAACCCTGGAAGAGGCTTCTTGGAGAGGGGGTCGACTCACCAAGCCTGTCAGGGTTCACAAACTCTCTGGACAATGCCCTTAATCACATGTATTAACTTTTGGTCAGCCCTGAAGAGGTCAGGCAGTTGGACTAGAAGGTCACTGTAGGTGCCTCCCAGCTGAAAATGTCTGTCCCAACACTGCCATGAAGGGTTAGACTGAGACTCTTAGTGGTGAAACACAACTGTGTGAATGGGAGAAGGGTGATAGAGCCAAGCACAAGATTGTGCAGCTTGAAGCTGTTTGGCTGAGGATCCTGCCAGCAGAGGACACAGCACTGTGTCTGCAACTCCTCCTGCAGCTTGTTGTGTGCTGCTGGTGGTGGCTACAGCTTTACAGGAGCCCACAACCAAGAGAGAGTAAAGCCAATGGGTTGAGTGGGCTGGGTTTAATGTAAGTGCCTCTCAGCCTCACCAACCACCTGCTGGTTTGAAGCCTAGATCTTTCCAGGGTCCTCTGGGTTGTTTTCAGACAGACATACCTAGGGTTGAAACGTAAACATGTTTTTCAGAAGAAAGCAAAAGACTTGGAGAGTGGAATGGCAACAAGTGACCCTGTTGTTGCTGCTCAAAACACATCCTGCTGCTGTTCCTGGACTGGTTTATCCAGTCTGAGGGCTCATGGCTTTCTGCACCTGAGGCCAGATCCCTGCTCTAAGCTGTAACTATTGCACCTTCTGCCTGCAGGGCACGACTGAGCACAAAGGGGCCGAGCCTGAACAGGAAGAAGCAAATCTCTCCTTTGTAACCGTATCAGCAATTCAGGAAAACTGCTGGGTTTTATTTTAGGTAGACCTGGGAATGTTTTGTAGATGCAGAAACAGTTAAAACTTAGTCCTTGGCTTCAGCAGCTCTGCTGAGGTGTGGAGCTTTATCGGAGAGCAGGGCAGAAGAGGCTCCTGTGGAGCACCAGTGGTGTTCAGAGGGAGCAGAAGGTCCTGAGGTGAGGAAGCTGGGTCAGCAGCTAAACTTCCCATCTCGTGGGCATCCTGTGTGGGTGGGCAGGGGGCAGGCAGAGCAGGGGCTTCCTGCACTGCCATTGCAGTCAAGGCACATTTCCTTGGGAGCATTTTTTAATTTTCAGCTGATGCTATATTCTACTGCCCAGGTTTTTCTTTTGAAGACAGATAGCTTACACATTCCCCTGCCAAGAATCTGCCGAGCAAGCCTGTAGCATACTACTAGATAGATAAAACAAAGGCCAAAAAAGTGGGTCATTCTGTCTTCCTTGTTGAGCAGAGGCTGGTTTTGGTGGTATTAGTTCACACTGAACCCAGTAAGAGCACACTCCTGAAAGCTTGGCAACGTGGTGCCTCCAGCAACACATCCCCTTGGCAAACACATCCTGGTGTTTGTGCTTCTGCATTTGGGATTTGGTGTGCACTGAAAAGCTGGGGTGCTAGCTTCTGGGGTGCCTTCAGAAGAATGAGGCCAGCAGGTCAAGGGAGGTTCTCCTCCCCTCTACTCTGCCCTAGCCAGGCCACCTCTGCAGTATTGGGTCCAGTTCTGGGCTCCCCAGTTTAAAAGAGACCAGGATCTACTGGAGAGAGTCCAGCAGAGGCTGCAAAGATGCTGAGGGGCTGGAGCATCTCTGTGCCAGGACAGGCTGAGAGCCCAGAGAAGAGATCTCATCAATATCTAGAGAGCTCATGGGGGGCAAGAGGCTGGGGCCAGACTCTGTCAGTGGTGCCCAGTGACAGGACAAGGGGCAACAGGCACCAACTGGAACCCAGGAGGTGCCACCTGAGCAGCAGGAGAAACTTCTTTGGTGGGAGGGTGCAGAGCCTGGAGCAGCTGCCCAGAGAGGCTGTGGAGTCTCCTGCTCTGGAGAGATCCCAAACCCTCCTGGCTGTGACCCTGGGCACCCTGCTGGGGGTGAGCTGCTGGAGCAGGGGGTGGGATGAGATGATCCCAGAGGTCCCTTCCAACCCCACCATGCTGGGATCCTGTCACTACTGACTAAATGACTGCAAAGGAATCCCCTGTGACCACGAGCTGGGTGGGCACACGTTTGGGTGGGGTTTTGCATGTAGGCATGCATGCACTTCAATGCAGATAGGGGGTTTGTCAGGCTGTTGGCCAAAATAGAGCAATTTTTAAAAACCAAAAAAAGCTAACACATTTTGAACCAAAAGATTTTCATGATGTCAGCCTAAGGCTGAAGTCTTTCTAAGCACTAACAGCAGTCTCACAGCTTTTCACTGCCAGGAACAGGCACAGAGGAAAAGCATAAAGGAGTGTGTGTAAAGGAAGATCATGAAAGGTGTGTATAAAGCACCACCTCTCCCAGGAGACCTTCCCAATTTAGCAGCCTGTTGTTCAGGGACTTCCTAAGCCAGATACAACATCTGTGCAATAGCTCTTCCTGGACACAGCCCCTGTGAATTTGATCAGGTTCTCTTTGAACCTATTTTTACCTTTGGTTTTCCCAGGATCCTGTGGCAATTAAATTACACATTGTGTGAAGAAATACTTCCTTCCACTAGATCTTTAGACCCCTAAAGCCTTGCATCTGGCCACCTTCCTCCTCACAGCCCTGAGAGCTGCTGAAACATCACCCAGCTGGGATTTCACAGCTCTCTCTCAGCCCTCTTGAGCCAACTGCTTCCTAAACCAAGAAACATCTCTCCTCCTGTGGCAGACATTTCCAATGACCTTCCTCCTCCCTTCTGAACGTTTCCTGGTGTATCAGTTCATGGCAAAGTGCTTTGCTCTGCTTGTTGAAAGACAAATCCTGC